ATCCCACTCCTGCAGTAGAGGCGGCTGTGTGCTGCTTCAGTCCCAAACCGTCGTGCTTATCAAGTGCATGCTACCAAAATACCTAAAATGCATGCACAGGCCGTGTGTAGCAGCCTCAGGACGGGAAGGGACTGCACCACACAGCTCTAGGAGACCTGGAGTAACGCAAAGGAAATGCCTGTAGAATATTGAAAGGATAAATCGAGAAATAGTCCGTGAGGTAGGGAATTTAATAAGGACACTAAAGGAGACTTGGTCAGAGCTTTGGTCACATCAAAACACCTCTATTTAATTGTGTTTTACTTTTTGAGTTGCTTTTAATCTGATTGCCAAGCGATACTGCTGCTGTTTTATTTCAAATCACTCTGACCATCTTGCCTGTAATCCATTTACAAGTGATGCCACTCCCTGGGCTTTGTCACCTGACATGTCATTCCTCATGGCAGCATGAGGCTTCAGACACACCATCATGACAAATCAGTCAAACGGGAATTTTCAAAAAGAAAATGCCATATCTTGACATGTAAGGCAGGGAGTTGGAAAGGAACAGGAGATTTGCAAGGCTGAGAGACCCATCTGTAATTCCACAATGGAGGGATTTCTCTTGTTCGTCACAGTTTAAGCAGTTTATGTGACATATGCATGCTATGTATAGGAGCTAACTAAAGGTCAAACTCTGCTTTTGGCTACATTGGTGAAAATCCACTGGATATTGACAGTTCTTGGACCTGCACTCATGAAAGCTAAAAGGTGGATTTGGCCAAGGAATTAATCAGGTACGCTATTCCCCACAGAATAGTCACAAGCAAATGCTGAGGCGTCCTGAGTTTTGTCACAGATGGAAAAAGGCCTTGCAAGCTCTTAAGGATCATCTGCTGCAGGAGGCGGAAGAGCCCTGGGAGAACTGTGCTTTTTTAATACCCGAAATATGTGCATCTCACACCAGCAGTCATCAGCGCAAAGCTTTCCGGCTGAAGCTGCTGTAGGGTATGAACTCATTAAGTCAACTCATTTTGTAGCTTTCGTTAAGATTGATTTCAGGTACCGTGATCATCCCTTTTTCTCCTTTAATAAACACAGCCTTTCTATGCTGTATGAAAACAGAACAGCAAAGCAGGTCTTTCTGCGGAAGTTTAATGACATGAAATCTCACTTCAGTCAATTTGACGAGGATAGAATGTGAAACTGCCTCCCGGGTGCAAGACAATTATGCAGATGAAAAACCCTTTGCAGGAAACTGTGCAAGCATCCGGAAAACACCGTGAATCTGTCTATCTATAGAGAAGGGTCCATTTCAGGCTGCCATTACCAATTCCGTTAAATACTCAGATGGGTACGTTAGTTTCTGCCTCTCTAATAAGAACAAAGTAATTTAATTTGTAGTATTTTTTCACATAGTAGCTTTTTCCATGGATTTAAAGGGTGTTACCGCAGTGCATTCTCCCGGAGTAAAGATAAGAATTCTGCTTTTATGCGATTCAGATTTTTGAATGCCCAACTCGAAGGACTTCAGAGTTTCAAAAGTGCTGGGAATTTGCATTTTCAGATGCAATTAATAGCATCTGTCGGTGTGTAGCGCCTGCAGAAACTGGGCCTCGGACGTCTCGGAATGCCTACTCAAAATAGGAGCTCTCCTGCAGCATGAATGCTTCAGTGACTCATCCCAGATCAAAGAGCAAGTTAGAAAGTGAGGCAAGGCAGAAAGCAGATCTTCTGACTCCTGGTGTCTGGTTTGAGAGATGAGATTATACTGCTCCGCGGAAAGCCGCCCGCCGGAGTGACCTATTTTACCGACGTAGGTCACTTCCATTAGCTCAGTAGTTATTGTTCTGTTGTTTTAATTAGTGCCATTTCAAATAAGTGGCCGGCTCTGTGGAAAGGTCAGTACCTTTCTGAACTCTTCCTCTGAAAAGATCACGTTGCTAGGGAAACGATACCGGAAAAGTAATCAATTCTTGTTAGACCTCCAAATACGACATGCAGTTGCTTAGCTGCTGGCCAGGCACATCTCAGTTGAGAAGATGACTCACTCCATCAGTGTAACTCAGAGCAAACATTGTTCAGCCCTGGCCTAGCCACATATGACAAGTACAAACATGTTTTGAAATAATACCAGCTGTTAAAGACGTTAGTTCTGGAGAGGAAAAAAGGACAATAAATCCTGTTCACAAAGAACTGGGATTCTCTGGTAACGTTCTCTTTACGATACATATGTAGGTACACCAGATAATCCCCATAAACACGAACAGGCTTACATAGTTAACTCCTCTCTGTCTCGCAGAAAATACAGCTGCTTATGAAATCTTGAGATTCGTGTCCATGTGCCATCCAGCTAGCAAGATAGCTTCAATATTTCTCCTGTAAAATTTAGTCCATATCTTTACTGACAAAATAAAGCTTTGAAAATGGAATATAGTTGTTACCATACCCAGTCTGGCTTTAGTGGCAAAGCTTGGATCATTAGTGGTCAACATCGCCATATTATACTATAGCTTCAGTATTTCTCCTGTAAAATTTAGTCCTTATTAAACGGCCTGTCACATAAACATGTCCATATCTTTACTGACAAAATAAAGCTTTGAAAATGGAATATAGTTGTTACCATACCCAGTCTGGCTTTAGTGGCAAAGCTTGGATCATTAGTGGTCAACATCGCCATATTATACTTCATATACATATGTAGCTGTTCAGTGCATATGGCTGGAAAACAATGCATATTACCATGTGCCTGTACTTGACAAAGTAGTAATAAATATGGTTTATTGCTCATATATTGAACCCAAATGAAATTGTTAGCCAAATGGAAAGACTCAGAGAAACTGTGGAATTCCTGATGGGATTTCTAGAAGTAACTGAATAATGGGGAAGTATAAATCCTATTGCCTTCAGTAGCACATGCTGCGTGTGGATACATGTACAACTTTTAAACCCTGCAGTCTGTCAACATAACAAAAACATTTGGAAATATTATCAGTATGCAGACATTTAAATCTAAAGATGTCTAAGCGGGTTACAAATCAATCTTGTGGAGTCTTGTTTTCTGCTAATACAAGCTTAGTGCAGCAGTGCCTAAATGCAGGCACTTCTAAGACAGAACATGAAAGGCACTTATGAATCAATGCACTTACATATGTGTGGCATTTTAAACATTTAAATACTCCCATTTATTTTAAAATACTATGTTTACACTTAAAATTAAGCCTAATTTAATAGATTTTGCTGGATTAAGGTCTAAAATCAGCGACATTTTTGCATTTGCATGAATTAGTGAAGGAGAATAATCTATTAATTTGAATTTACAAAGGCTTTTAAGTTCTTAGCTGTATAATCTTATCCTAAAAACTGTGCCTCTTGCAACAGAGAAATCT